TCTTAAGAAGATTAATTATTATTAATAATAATAATAATAATAATAATAATATAATAGCATTAATAATAGTAATAATAATACATAATCGTGTGGTCAAAAATATTGTCATACGTGATCTTGCCCTAAAAGCAACATTTTTATAGTACACATACATTTTTAATATTCATCTATCAGATTTCTATTGGAAATTAATTTCATTAGTATCGTTTATCATGATATTTAACTTTCCCATTAAATCTTCCCTTAAAATCATTTGAAATTCTAAAATAAGATACTTCATGTATGACATCAAAATGAAAACACTCGGTGGATGGTAATTTTTGCATAACAATGCGAGAAATAATTGTGAAATCGAATTAATCAGATTCCATAATTATTTAAAACGTCTTGAATTCTATAAAATTAATTTCCAAACAACCTAATTTACATTTATATATGTATTCATTTATTTATTTATTTATTTATATATATATATTTTTTTTTGTTCATAACGTAGATCTACCTTTGGTACAATTTATATTTTCTCTCTTACTACTGACTACAATCATGATTTCTCTTTGTTTAATAGCATAATATTATCGATTATGTCCCTCTTGATAAATATCGATTATTATTTTTCTTCCCAATTTTCTTATTTGATTGAATTTTCTTTATTTCTTTTTGGTAAAAACAGAAAAGATAGATGGATCTTTTCTTAAATCGCATTGAAGGAACAACAATAACGAAAAGTTCATATTTAACTTCTAACGTTATCAATGAATTGAATGTTTTTAAGTATAATAAATCAGGTAATAAACCTAACCGTTTAAAGTTAGACGATTCTTGTACTACATCGTAATATCTCATGAATATTTTCACCAATTCGTAATGCATCAAAATTGCGAAAATATTTGAACGAACGAACGAGCATGATCGTTCGTTTATAATCCCTCATATAAAAAGATAATTTTCGTAATCATTATAGGCAGCTTTTGTTACATGTTTGGATGAAATTGGTGTCGATGGTACACTCAAAGGCAATTGTTGCGATTGCGATTGGGATTGTTGTTGTTGCACACGCGACAATTGCAATGTTGGCAATTGCGTTGTATGCGGAACAACCATTCTCGATGTTTGATTTATCGAACCCAATGATAAATGATGATGATGATGATGATGTTGGTCCAGTTTGTGAACGTTGTTGTTCGTAGTACTCGTATTATTATTGTTATTATTATTATTATTATTGTTGTTGTTGTTAGGATGATTATTGTTATTATTGTTGGTATGCTGATGAAGAAGAAGATGATTGTTGTTCTCGCTTTGAGCATAATGACGATGATCGGCATGAAGATTCAGTCGTGACATCGCCATACTGATACTCGAGTCAGACGCCCACATACTCTGAAAATGACGAGGCCTTTGTATTACCCAACTTGAATTTGACTTTCTATTCACATAATTCTAATGAATTATTCTTCTAACCATATATGTATATACGTTTTCACGAGGTAAACTCGCGTTTTACTATATTAAGAATAATTATCTTTTATTGGAATCGAATACACAATCGTCTTATTGTTCTACGTGAAATCGCATGATTCATTTAAATGAATTTTGTTTTTTATTTTTTATTATTCGATGCACGGATGCGAATTGCGGTGACATTTAATTATGCGGATAAATTTTCATTCGTTTTACGAGTTGAAAATATTTCTGTTTATTTTCATTTTAATTTATTGTATTATAATATTTTGAATTTAAAGATGTATTAGGAAAATCACCTTTCTCCTGTGTGGATTATAATCGGGATTACGTCGAATACGTAAATGTCTATCAGCACTGGTCCATCGTTGCGTAACTTTGAGAGGTGAATCATCTGGATGCAATTTTCTTTGATATTCTTCACCTTCGCAAACTTCGTACAATGAAAATTGTTCAACGCGTTCCTTCGAACTATAGCAACTCAATAACATCTGGATCAATTCGTCCACGGTGGTCTGTTCTGATACGAGCAGACTCTTGTACTTTGACTGGAAAAAAACAGAAGAAGAAAAATATGTTAAATCAAAGTTAATCCTAGAAGTTTATTGTTTCGAATAATTACGTATATGTATACTATTCTACTTATTATACTAAACGATATTACTAACATAACATTCTATGTTTAACGTTAAATACTTACACCAGACATGAGAGCACTGTCGTATATTTTCACAAGCCCGCCACGACGTGTCTGCAAAGAAAATCTGCAAAGGAAAGAAAAGAAAAAAACACCATGAATTACTTTCTTTTTTTTTTGTTTTTTTTTTTTTTTTTTTTTTTTTATAGTTTATAGTTAAAACGAGAAGAAGAAATAATAAAACAAGATCGGTAAGTTCAAAAGGTTACATTCGTTGGAAGATCTCTACCTCCCTCCCCTACCCCTCTGCCCTTCGTTCTACTTCGATTTCACCGGAAGTTTCCAACTACCTAACCGAAAATAACCAAAATGAAATGAAACATACGATAGAAAATTCTGAATTTCCTTTTTCTTTTTTTTTTTTTATTCATATCATTAAATCGATTTGTATTTAAATATTTATATATAGAGCCATAGATTTTTGTCTAACGTATGAGAACATCTTTTTTTAATGATCGGTTTATATAGACGCGTGCATGTGTGTGTGTGTGTGTGTGTGTGTGAAAGAAAATAAATAGACGTTTGGAGGAGTGAGTGGAAAAAAAGAAATAAACTTGAAAATTCAGGGTGGTCTTTCTAAAAAAATATAAAAAGGAAGGCCAGTGTGTTAATGTTGTATAAGAAATAAAAAAAGAAAAAAGTAGCTCGTATTTATCGGCCTTGCACCCTAAAATTATTTCAACCAAAACCGAGGCTCCTCCTTTCACAGAAAATGAAATGATAAAATTTACTCGGGAAAAGAAATTTTAATGGTAAACGAAAAAATACCTGGAATCGCCTCGTGGATGACAGGATTGAAGAACAGCAGGTCTGGCATCCTCATCGAGTGGTAAAATTGTGCGCACGTTAGCCCTTCGTACTGTTACTTCCATGGTCATGTAAAATAATCTTGGATCACGGTGCCTCATACGATATTTGTTTAACAAATTTTGAACAACTTCGTGACATGTTGTCTCATAAGTAATGCTCAGGGTTTTGTACTCGATATCTGGTCGTAAACAATTTGCGTACACCTTTATTGTCGTCTGTAAATTAATCACAAAAAAGAAATATAATTAATTATTTTAATTTATCTCTCTTTATTTTAAATGGGAAAGAAATATGATTAAACTGAGTATATTCGAATGATTGTAATAATTTGTTATATTATATATCATATGTTTTCTATGGTATATTTTACTTTATTATTTTATTTATATAATAATATATTATTCCATTGAATATTATTATTAATTGATTATATTGTATTCTATTTGATTATATCAAATTATACTTATATTGCAATACATATATGCACTTTTTAGGGATAATTTATTTATGATTAACATCAAATATTTCTATCATCAAATATTATTTAATTATATCCAATAAATTAATAAACATTTCCATCATCTTTTTAACTCCTATCATTAGTTATAATTAATACAATAATATTTAATATATTTGTATAAATTATAATTATTTAATTGTATTAAAATTTAGTATGCAACTCTAGAAAGTGTTCTGCGCATGCGCAAATACTTCTTGTGATTGTTTCGAAACAACAAACAATTAGCGTTAATTTGCTTCGTTGCTGTCTAAAAAATCACAAAGAAATTTCGTATTCGTATATAAGGTACGTAATTATTTTATTATTTTTTAATATGGACACTATTAAATCGATAAATAATTATATCATTTACACGCATGAATGTTATCCAGTTTGTGAATTCAGAATTGTGATATCTATGTATTAAAAGTATATTAGACATTATGTGTACATAATTAGATTATGCATTTATTACTGGTTTGTTTGTCATTAACATTATTAATTATTATTATTAATGTTTGATTATCTTGATTTTATCTTTTATGGTTTATTAATCAAGCTTTATATCAAATTGCATCTATATATTTATCTATTAAAAGTATGTTACGCATAATGTATAATATACAGTTACATATATATTTATACGTTTAAGGTATGTGATATGTTTACCCTTAATTTTTATTAATATTATTCTTGAATTTTTCAGGTAACATGCATCATTAACAATTAAGCTGTTTTCTTCAACGACTTCAATAGCAGCTGACATTTACTTTTCACTGCGATCCATCATTTGACATGTGGAGAGCAGTTAATCGGTGAGAAATTTTAACTTCAATTTCTACTCGTATAAAAAGTTAAATGTTAATTTTTATGAACCATCTATTGGCTCATTTGCAATATATAGAAAAAAGTTTATCGATGAGAAATGTTAATAAAATTTTAACTCGTATTGAAAGTTGAATTATAATTCATATGACTTGTCGATGATCATGTTATATGATTAATAAGTTTCTACGCTTTATTATATCCTATATTGTTATTCTATAATATTTCATATTTACTTGAATTACTTAAAAAGAAATAAATCTTCGCACTCAGCAATCTCTTCATGGTGAGATCTGGTAACCGGTATGGCAAACATTATTAAAACAATGCATGATGCACCTATCGGTTAAATAGCTAACATTCAACGCATCAGATTTTTTCTAACATACATTTCATTGCATTTAAAGAATATTAAAAAAACTTTGAGACCGATAAAGTATACGTTGAATTATGATTCAAATATATTAACTTTTTTATATTTCATTTCTTTTTTATATTTAATATAAATACTGCTGTTTATTTTAATAATTTTGTTTACAGATCTTCAGTTGTTGATTGCGTGCAATGCAATCATAGAGTCAGTGCTTGTTCTAAATAAGTTTGAAATTTGCAATTGAAAAGGTTTACTCTTTTAATTAAAATAAATAAAATCGCGTAATTAGATTCAGTGGTAAAATAAAGATTCTCCTGCATCTTTATCAACAAATTTAAATCTTCATCTGAATGAAATAACATGTAAGTATCATTCTTTTTTCTCAAATCATATTATTCAATCATTTTCTTTTATTGAATATATTCTCTTAACGTTATTACGTGTAATTAATTGTATTTTGTAAATTTTTAATTATAAATTAATCAACGATTCATCGATTCACCGATTCAACAATAATTCTAATCAACTTCACGACATCATTCAATCTTCTACGAGAGAAACAAGGATTTTTGAGTCATCGTAGAACTTCTTTAAGTAAAAATAGTGAGTAAAAAATGTTTGAGCACTTTTAATGTTTAATCATGTTTGAGGATGAAAGGTTCAATATCGAACACAAGTTTCTGATCTATAATTTCAAGTACAATATGTGTTAATAATTATCTTCTGATTTCATCTATTATAAATTTGCATTAATTTTCAATAATGTAACACTTCTCTTCTTGTCTTATCAATTCGAGTTATATTTAATTCTATAATTGTGTAACGTTATCAGAAATTCAATCATTGCAATTGCAAATGAACTTTAGTGTTCTTTACTTTGTATTTTGTTAGCATAAGTATTAGTAAATGTTTCACGCGAATTAATTTTTTATTAAGTTTATTTTAAAATTCATCTTGATAATTGGTAATATAAAATATAGTAAATAATTTCTTAGAAGATTTGTTAATGTGAATATATAATTAAAACAAAAATAATGTCAATTCTGACAAAAATTTTAGGGTTAAAGAAGATGGAAAAAAAACGAAAGAGGATATCCTGTTTTCTAAATAAAGGATTAAAAAAAAGAAGAAGAAACCTTTTTTTTTAAGGAGTTTCAGTCGAGGAGCATACGAGCTTAGACAATTAGTCCATAATTAACTCGGAGACAGACATGTTTGGGAGCACGCGTGCACCATAAAACCCTATCAACCCTTTCTAATACAGTTAACGTTTATGAGGGTATGCATAAAGCAAAAATAACCAGACACCAGATCACCCAAACTTTCCCCTTCTCTTATTCATTTTTATGAATGCAGACACGCATATATTTTCTATCCTCGAATTCATCTGTCTAATAAAAGTGAATAATTCTAATCGTTATTTTATCATCCTTTATTGAGGTACTCGTAGTGAACAGAAATTTAGTTTAAGATATGAATCATTTTCAAATCGTTTGATGTTGCGTTAACAGATAGAAAAGATATTTTTCTAAATGATACACGTGTTTAGAAACAAGTTTACGATCAGAACGATTTATTAGCTCTCGTCCAACACGACTCCCTAAGTTCTTATTTACTTATACGTGTTCATGCATCAATCTTTGATTTCAAGTTTATGGAAACACGTATGGTATTATTCGCTAAATTTGATTCTTTAAGCTTCTTAGAGTTAATCTGACTAATATAGTATGTGGAAACACGTTTAAAGATAAAGAAAAAGTCATTGATATTGAAATATTTCCAATTAGGTATCACATGAGTCAGCTTTGGTTATTTCCAATTGATCGTAAAATTGTTAACGTGTGTCTCTTTCGTTCGAGTTTGCGGATTTGAAAGTAAATGCACAATTATTTGTCATCGTAGCGAATTAAATTTAAGTAGAAAACGAAAGAAATATTATTTTTGCGATTGACAAGAAAATTGTTTGATAATAATGAATAAATTATATATAAACTGTTTTTTTGTAAAATGCATGTGTGATCTTTAGAGATGATTTGAATTCTAAGAAGAAAGAAGTTTACGCAAGATTCTGAATCATCGTTAGTGAAATACCAAGAAGGTTACACATGATCAGTTTATTGTCTGTTTGCTATGTCATCAGGTGCATTCGATCTTTGTTCCAACATTTCTTTTGATTTATTTTTCTTGTTGTTTTCTTCTTTATTGAAAAACAAAGATCGAAGTGGTGGTATTTACTTTTGTCTCATAACGTACTGCTAATGAAAGAGAAAAATCTTCTGCAGATGATGAGGAAAGCAAGATGAGAGTCAGAGTGTCAAAACTAAGTCTGTGACTTGTCAAGGGACGTCTTTAAAGGTAGAACCGAACATAAAAAAAAAAGGGTTGTAATTTTAAAATACCATCTAATGGCTATTTTTAGATTTTCTTTTTATCATTTAGCTTTCTTTTTTAAATCGTAAATTATTAATACGCTCAAATAAAGGATGATCAAATAAATTATTAATATATTCAAATTATTTTATTTACTTTTTTTTGGAAAGGTGGTTCAAAGTTATCATCACAACATTGTGAAAATTTTATATATAGAAAAATATGTTTTATTTGTAGATCTTTTTCTTTTTTTGTAAATTTCTTTAATGAATTAATTGTCTAATTTTTATTTTTTTTATTTCTTGTAATAGAAAATTTATGATACTTTCAATTAATTTATGTTTAAATCAAGTGAAGGTTGACTCACTAGGCGTTCATTCATACGTAAACTCGTTTGGTAACTAACTCATTTTAATATATTATACTTATGCAACTGCATCAATGTTCTCTTTTTAACTACAACTTTTATAAAATTCCTAGATAAATTCTTGTCTGATAGACGTAATCATTACTGTTGCATAGGATTAATTTAATCTAATGCATTGGGTTGTCCAGAAAGTTAATGTTAATTTTAAAATAAGTAAATATAATTATTTTATTCATATATTATTTTTATATAGAAAAAACAAATTGTTCACATCTCGATCAAATCAATATATTAGATTTATAAATTAAAATTATTTATCAAATATGCAGATATATATTTACAAATCCATACAACCCAAAGTTACTTTGTTGCATTTTATTATTATAAAAAACATTTGTTTCATATATACTATTGTAACCAAACCATAGAAATAAATGGTAAAAGAAGGGGAATCATTATTTTTACGTTTACTTTTTAAATGATGGGAGGTTAAAAGTAGGAGGTGGGGTAGAAGAAACGTGGAATGGAATTCGAAGAAGATTCCTTTCGTGTGTTCTTCTAGTGATCTGGTATATCGAGCGTAAAATATAAAAAAAAAGATAGAAAGAAAAGTAAAAGAAAGAGAATGAGCTAGTCGAAAAGTGAAAGAAGATGAGACGGTAATGGGAAACCAGGAGAACACCATATGTCGTACTAAGGCACACTTTTAACGGGAATCCATAAAATCTTACGAAACTAGGAACACCATTTTACGAAAGATTTTCTATGGCTTTATTCTTGCGCGTGTTCATTGATCTGTTAATAATTTGTAAAATGAAATTTTGTTTATATTGTATATGTTATATATTTTTATTATGCAAAAAGAGAATGAATTTAAATTAACGTGGCACAGAATTTGATTAAGACGAACCTGCCATTCTAAAAATACTCGCACTATCGTCCTTCGACCTTATCGTTATCAACTTCTGCTAGCGTTCTTTGGTTTATTGAATGTGTCACCCGGTATATACACGTATGCATATTTTATATTTTTATATGTGTGTTCCTGTCGAAGCAAGGTAAACGACACCTTTCAACGGAAATCATTATGGTTGGCCTTGTTACTGTTAATTAAATGATTAGCAAACTCCTACGTTTGGGATTACAATATTTTTTTAAATAATTATATTCTCTTTTGTTTGAAAAAATCATTTTCTCTCATTTTGTGTAATTTATATATTTAAATAATTTTATTTATTTCGTTACGTTTTTAATTTGAATTGAAATTTTCGTATCAATTTGATTTGGAACTTGGCGAAATTAAAAACCTGAATACGTTATTCGAGAATGATCGTCTTTTTTTAGATATCAAAGTAAGCATTATCATGATTTATTATTATTATTATTATTTTTATACGAGTATGGGTTAGCTGTTAGTAACACGTGTCGCAAGTATATCGAAGAAAAAGAGTTGGAGAAATGGGCTTTTAAAATCCGGAAATGTCGTGGGATTATAGAAAGCATTGGATGTTTTATAATTAGAGCGGATGAGAATGAAAGAAAAATCAGTGGGACTTTAAAATATATTCTAACATTTTTTTTCTCACACACACTTGATCATTCATTCTCGTTCACTCATTCATCGTACTTTTTTTGTTCTGGTTTATTATATTTATGCAACCGTAATATTTTATATATATGTGTGTTTTTTTTTTTTTTTTTTTGTATATTTATATCGAGCATGATTATAAATGGCAGTCCTTGTATCTCATAGGAGATCGTTTTGCAACGAACTACAATCTATATACGTCACTTCCGTGCATTCTATTCTTTGATAGAATGTTTACGAAACGATAACGGGTTCGCGTTATCATTTAAAATTGTAATTTAATTTATGGTGATTTCTTTTCTTTCCTTTTTCTTTTTTTTTTTTTTTTTTATATAGCCAGAATTAGTAGCTAACGCGTACTCCTATTTCTAACCGAAGGAAATAGATTTTTCTTATAATTTTTGGATTATTCAATTAATTTATAAGTAATTTATTTTATTTTATTTTATTTCTTTTCTCTTTTTTCATTGTACGTGTAAAATCTTTTAAATAAGTTTTCTTGTTTTTCATTTTATAAAATAATTCGATTTGATTAATTTGATGATGAATTGATGAAATGAATTGATTTATTTAAAACGAGATGATGTAGAGATGATTTTTTATGTTTTAATTAAAGATCGCCATTTTGGTAGACGATAAATCAGATAATAAATCTCGATAAATCTCAACGGGCAACCTTTTCTAATTTTGTTGTTGTTCTTTCTTTCTTTTTCTTTTTCTTTTATCAATTTTTAATCCTAGTCTCGTTTACGAACGAACGTAAATAAATCAAAGAAACTTGTTAGCACGATTTCCGTATTTTCAGTCTTTTATTCGATAGATTTATTTATAACATGTCAAAGAACTTGAACGTTTTATCGTTAAAACACGCTAGTCGCTTACGAAAAAATATCTTCATTCGATTTTTCTCTGTCTATATATATATGTATATATGTGTGTGGGTATATATTTATGCGCAAGTGTGTGGTGTTATTTTGATGATGGGAATCGATCGTTCACGTTCGATAAAACAAACAGGAATAATGATCGTAACGAGGAGGCACGAAACGTGGATCAAATAATGAAACCCCCATCATCAGGATCTTATGGTATTTCTCGTCTTTCTTTATAAGATTTATTCTTTTTCTCTTTTTTTTTCTTTTTTCTTTTCGTCGAGTTAATGTATATATATGTGTGTATGTGTTTTATTCATTTTTATGCACGTCGAATGGCGCCATCATGTGTAGACATTTATTATCCTGTTTCAACCCCTTACTTTCTTTGCATAATAAATTTCTTTAGTTTCTTTATTTTTTTTTTTTTGTTTTCTTTACTATTCATTTAATCTTCTTTTTGTGTACGTATCTTTTCTATTGTTATGCATATTTGCAAAACGTTTAGATTTGGTTTAGATTGTGTTAGAAGATTTTTTGTGAATTTATATTTCAAAATTAATATCATTAAAATTTGTCGCGAAGATAGAAATTTTTCTTCACAAATTATATTTACAATTTAATTTATTATTATTAATAATTCAGATAAGATTAACGTTCTTTTTGATTTTATTTTTATTTCAATGTTTAGGAGTTTAATTTTAAATGCAACCACGCGTAGATATTTTTGTCGGTTTTTATCTATTTTATTTTTCGGTTTCGTTTCCGGTAAAAAAAAAGAAGTACCAGTTTTTCAAAGGGTCAGAGGTTTGCACTTTTTGTTTTAAATAATTTTTTGTTCTTTTTTCCCCATTCTTATTTAGAACGAAGCCACTGCAGTAATTGTTCGACAC